AACTTAAAATTTATTCAAGCTATATATTTTTATTACTTCAATTTCACATGTTATTGTGCTTCCTTTTTAGCTTTAGCGTGAACATCCTAGAAGATTTATGTATTTTTTTAAAATTTTCTTGGAAAGCTATTTCCATTTAAATACTAAACTAGCCAGGTAACTAACAGAAGAAGTCTTTTTTTTTTCTCGCGAGCAAAATACAAAAAATGTCAATTATCCTATTTCTTTAATCCATAAGAAATACTATAAGAATAGTTTCCAACAAATAAGAAAAGAATAAAACAATATCGCAAAAATGGAATCAACCCACTACTTTTAATTAATGATCTATTGTTTCTTTATTTTGGGGAAAACTTTCTTTCTCTGTCCAAGCACATAAACATGCACACGGATGTTTTGTTTTTGTGAGGCAAGAGTCTATGTGATGAAATTTCACGTTTCGAGGCCTTAAACTCTCTCTTAGCATTACCTCGATTTGCGTGCGCAGTCCGGGCGCATAGCCGGAAAGCCTAAATGTGAAAATCTATGAAAAATAATAAATTTTGACTATAAAATGAATTAATTTGACTTCGGTCAACGTTTTGGGTAAATGGACCAGACCCATGATTTGATGGTCCCGGAGGATCCGTAGGAAAATATGGGACTTGGGCGTATGCCCAGAATCGAATTCCGAGGTCCCAAGCCCGAGAAATGAATTTTTAAAGAAAATTATTTTCTCAAAATGGTTTAAAGGTTTTGGAAATGAATTTTGATTAGAACGTGTTGGTATCGGGCTCATATCTTGGTTCCGTCGCCCGATACATGTCTTATATATGATTTAAGATAACTCTGTGAAGTTAGGTAAGAAACGGAATCCGTTTGACGTGATTCGGACCTTAAATGCAAATTTGATGTTTAAAGGAGTTTTGAGAAATTTCATTGATCTTGAGATCTAATTCGATGTTCATGATGTTATTTTGGTGATTTGAGTACACGAATAAGTCCATAGGATGTTTTTGAGGTTGTGTGTATAATTGGTTTGGAGCCCCGAGGGCTCGGGTGAATTTTGGATAGGCCACGGGGTGGATTGTTAGACTCAGAAAGTTGCAGAAACTTTGTTGGTATGATCAGGCCTGCAGGCTTCGCATTTGCGACGCCAGGCTCGCAAATGCGAAGGCTGGATCGCAAATGCGAAACCAGCCCAGGCCTGTCTTGCTCGCAAATGCGAGGCTTTGATCGCAAATGCGATTAGTCCTGTTTCAGCCTTGAGCCGCAAATGCGACTCTCCTCTCGCAAATTCCAACTCGCAAATGCGAGGGTCCCTTTCGCAAATGCGAAAGGCCAGCTTTCCTGAAGGGTTCGCAAATGCGAACCCTGTTTCGCATTTCCCAACTTAGCAGAGGTCAGGGTTCGCAATTGCGAACCCCTGTTCGCATTTTCCATACCTACGACCTGCAACTTTATACTTAGACGATTTTAAACCCATTTTTCACATCTTTTCAAAATGCAAACTCCTTTGGGCGATATTTCAAGAACAACTCTTCTTCCAAATCGATTGTAAGTTAATTTTAACTCATTTCCTTCAATTATTAATATCTTTTAACATGATTTCAACTTAAAATCAATGGTTTTCATGGGGAAAACTTGGTGTTTTGAGTAGAACCTAGGTTTTCAAAAATTGGGGATTTGGATCTCGATTTGAAAACAAATTATATATTTGGGTTCGTGGGGGAATGGGTAATCGGGTTTGGTTCGAACCTCGGGTTTTGACCATGTGGGCCCGGGGGCGATATTTGACTTTTTGGGCAAAACTTTGGAAAACTCATTTTTATGCATTCAAATTGATTCATTTGGCGTTTATTGATGTAATTAAGTAACTTGTGACTAGATACGAGCGAATTGGTGGTGGAATCAAGGGATAAAGCTATAATTGAATCATGAATTGTGTTCGTGGCATCGAGGTAAGTGTTTGGTCTAACCTTAGCTTGAGGGATAAGGAGTTGAGTCCTATTTGCTATGTGGTAATTGTTGAGTACGACGTATAGGCATGGTGACGAGTATCTACAAGTTGGTATCTAGCATGCCCGTGAGTCTTTATATTGTGATTACCATGACTTCGTTGTATCTTTCTTGCCTTAGTGGTGATTTCTATTTGTGGTATAAAGTTTGTGGAAGGAATTGTGATTTATGACCCTTGAGGAGCGTTGGCTCAAGTTGTATAACGAATTGTGAAAGTATAAGTGATAATTGAACCTCCAGAGCATTAGCTTGAGTTGTGAAGTGAATAGTGAAGCAGAAGTGAGAAAGAGAAGAGATCATTATGTTGTCACCCTTGCCGGGCTATTGTTGATTTATTTGATATCTCCCTTGTGGGGATGTTGATGTTATTGATGTTGTTCCCTTGTCAAGATTAAATTGTTGAATTGTTGTTCCCTTGCCAGAATTTTTATTGCAATTTCATTTGTTCCCTTGACCTATTGTTTGTGATTGTTGTTTGGGTGAGGAAAAGAGTTAAAGCACGAAGGGTGATGCCGTGCATTGTTTGTTTTGTGAGGAAAAAGTGTAAAGCACGAAGGGTGATGTCGTGTATGATTGTGAGGAAAGAGTGTAAAGCACGAAGGGTGATGTCGTGTATGATTGTGAGGAAAGAGTGTAAAGCACGAAGGGTGATGTCGTGCCGCACGATGTACCATTCCGTGCCGATTATATTGATTATATGGTGAGGAAAGAGAGTAAAAGCACGAAAGGTGATGCCGTGCACATTTTTATTGTATGATTGTTTTGGTGAGGACGAGAGTAAAAGCATGAAAGGTGATGTCGTGCATTTGTTAATTTCTGATTCTTTGTTAATATCCGAGTTATATTGTTCTTTTCATTACTTGATGTCTTTCTATTTGGAATTGTTATCTCCCCCACAGCATGCTCCCCTCCCATATTGACTGGCTATTTCTGTATTTCTTTCCGTTGTATATGTATTTGAACTGCACAGATTTATTTGATAGTCTGGTCCTAGCCTCGTCACTACTTTGCCGAGGTTAGGATAGACACTTACCAGCACATGGGTCGGTTGTGCTGATACTACACTCTGCACTATGTGCAGATCCCGAAGTAGCATTTGGACCGTAGTGTGGAAGCTACCTTCAGTCCACCCGGAGATCCAAGGTAGACCTGCAGGCGTCCGCAGGCCCTGGCGTCCCCCTCTATCCCTATTTCCTGTTTCATCTTCCTTCTATTCAGAAACAGTGTACTGTTATTTCTTCAGACTTTGTATGTAGCAATCTTAGATAGTCTGTGACACTGTGACACCAGGTTTTGGGTGGTTAAGACTTAAGTATTTGTAATAGATACAATTTTCATATATTTTATTGTTGTCTTCCGCTTAAATTTAAATTTCCGTTGTTATCATGTTATCGCCGTATATTTGTTATAAAGAAATAATCGGTTAATGAAGTAATTAGATCAAAGGTTTGGCTTGCCTAGCTCACATTAGTAGGCGCCATCACGACTCCTGAGGATGGGAAATCCGGGTCGTGACAGTCTATGATTGTTATCGAACCACTTTTAGTTGATGGATTTTGAAAGGACTATATTATTACTATCCTGGGACAAGGGGGGTTGCTCTGATGGTAAGCAACCTCCACTTCCAACCAAGAGGTTGTGAGTTCGAATCACCCCAAGAGCAAGGTGGGTTTTTCTTGGAGAGAAGGATGTCGAGGGTCTATTTGGAAACAGCCTCTCTACCCCAGGGTAAGGGTAAGGTCTGCGTACACACTACCCTCCTCAGATCCCACTAATGAGATTATACTGGGTTATTGTTATTGTTGTTGTTGTTGTTGTTGTTGTATATTATTACTAACCTCGAAGAAGTAAAAATACAAAACAATAAAAAAAATCATAGTTAGAATTTATTCTTTCAACCAATTCCTACAAATACAGTGTTTTAGTTTCATTTGTGTCTATAATCAGTTATCGGTTAAATTGTACAAACTTTTTAAAAGAAAATCCTCTATTATTTGAAAAATATATTTTAATTGTTTATATTTTGTAAAAAAAAAAAGAGAAATATATTACAAATATACTTTATTTGTTTATTTCTAAATATATTTTATTTGGAGGATCTTATTATGTTTTTTCTTCCTCCATATATTAGATATTTTTTACTATTTTGCCTTTCAGTTAAAATGGTAAGTGATTTAATATTACTTAGAAATGTGCACTAATTTACAATATAATAGCTTGCTAATCATTAAATTACATAGATTTCTTATTTTGTTGTATTTTTTTAAATTAGGGATCACTCATGTGATCTATTCCTAGATTTCAGTCCATCTATAGACACCTCTAACTCCCTCAAAATAACTTAAGTTTATTTTTGATGAAATGCTGTTAAGATCTAATTTGGATGTGAGCTTGAAGCTCGAACTTGGGCTCCAATGGAGTCGTTCTAGAAGGTTCTGAGGGAGAGAGAGTTCATCAGAAATGAAAGTAGGAAAATGTGGAAATGGAAAGCTTAGTCTTTCGTTGTGAATATATACACATGTATAACAGCTAATGCTGAGCTGGCCACTAACTACTCAACTAACATACAACTAATCACATAACAGTATACATATAAACAACATACATAATTATACAACTCTCAACACCCCCCTCAAGTTGGAGGTGTCATGTACACTGCCAACTTGCTCAATATAGCTGAATGTTTCACTCTTGTTAGAACCTTGGTAAGGACATCAACCAATTGATTGTTTGTTGCTACATGTTGAAGTGAGATCAATCCCTCCTATAACTTGCTTCTAACAAAGTGACACCCCATTTTAATATGTTTTGGTCGTTCATGAAACACAGGATTTTGTGCTATATGTAGAGCTAATTGGCTGTCACAAAAGACTTCTACTGGTTTGTTAAAGGGCACATTAAGTTCTTCAAATAAACTGCATAGCCACACCAGCTCCCCTACTACTATTCTGAGTGTCCTGTACTCTACCTCTGGTGATGAAAATGAAATTGTCTCTTGCTTCTTAGATTTCCAGCATAGGGCTATTCCCTAGTAGAACTAAGTACCCACTCACTAATTTCCTTGAATTTGGGCAAGCAGCCCTATCAGAGTCGCAATAAGCTCTAACCTTAAATGTTGGATCATGTGAAATGAATATTCCCATTGAGGGATCACCCTTCAAATATATAAGCAGGTGAAATGCTGCTTTTAGGTGGAGTTCTCTTGGATCTTGCTTGAATTGGCTGAAGTGTTGTACACTGTAGGCTATGTCTATTCTTGTGTTGGTGAGAAAGTTTAATTTCCCAACCAGTTTTCTGTAGTAAGTAGGATCAGGTAATGCAATCCCCTCTTTGGCTCTTAACTTCACTGATGGATCAAATGGTGAAGCAAGACTGCTATAGTCCATGCAGTTATATTCTTTCAGTAAATCAAGTACAAATTTCCTTTGTGTGATTACAATTCCATTAGCTTTATACAATACTTCCAGCCCCGAAAGTAGTGGAGTTTGCCCAAGTATTTGATCTTGAAGCTTTCATGTAGGAATTCCTTCAGTTCTTCTATTTCTTCCTTGTTAGTGCATGTCAGTACTACATCATCAACATATACTGCCACATATATTGTTGACTCAGTTGTTTTCTTGTAGAAAAGTGAATAGTCATACATAGAGTGAGTATATCCCTTGCAACACAGTGTTTCACTCAATTTTGCATACCACTATCTACTTGCATGTTTGAGACCATACAAGGATTTCTTAAGTTTGCATACTAAGTGTCTGTCCTCTACCACCAATTCTTGTGGTACTTATATGTATACCTCTTCATGGAGTTCCCCATGAAGAAAGACATTATTCACATCTAACTAAAAAATATCCCAGCCTTTCTTCATTACTGCAGCTATAAGAGCTCTTACTGTTGTAATTTTCACCACAGGACTAAATATTTCTGTATAGTCAATTCCAGCTTGCTGGGTATGCCCTTTGACCACCAATCTAGCCTTGAACCTTTCTACACTACCATATGCCTATGCTTCACTTTGTACACCCACTTGCACCCTATGGCTTGTTTCCCCACTGGTAATGGTACTAGCTCCCAAGTATTATTGGCATGCAATGCCTCAAACTCTTGTGTCATTGTTGCTTGTCAAACAGGATACATAACTGCTTCCTCATATGAATTAGGTTCCTTGTCACTGCAAGTGCTTCTCACAAGACAGGGCTGTTTGTTCTGATTTGGATACTCAGTAGGTGTGTGACTGTGGGTGGAGATAAGGCATTGATAGAAAAGGATGCAGTGGTGGTATTGATGTTTGGTTTGAGTTGAGGTAATTTGTAAATATAATCTTTCAGGTATGTAGGAACTTTGTGTATTCTATGAAATTGCCTTGGTATTAAGACATGTTCAGGTGTGCTTATAGATCTTATTGGTGAGTCATTTGGTGAATATTCTGGAGTATGTGAATCTTCTAGAGTATGTGAACCTATATCATTAAGAGAAGAGGATGAAGGAACATTAGACAAATCTAGATGTGTGACATTTGAAATATTTTGATCATTTGACTCACTGGTTTCCCTTTGCTCATTATCATTAGACACGTAATCAATGAAAGGAATAGATTGGACAATACGAAGGAATGAAGTAGTATCCTTAGACATGCAAAAAGGAAAGATATTTTCATTAAAAAAGACATCTCTAGATACATGTGTTTTCTTGGTGGCCAGACTGAGCACTTTGTACCCCTTTACTCCAAAGGGATATCCAATAAAAACATGTGGTGTGGTTCTAGGTTCAAACTTATCTCTGTAGATTTTGGGTACTGTAGGGTAACATAGGCACCCAAAACTCCTCATGTGAGAGTAAGTAGGATTTCTGTTATACAGTAGTTCATATGGTGAATTGCCTTTGAAATGAGAAGAAGGCATTCTGTTTACTATATAGGTTGCACATAGGATACATTCACCCCAATATCTCAAGGGTAATTTTGATTTGAATAAAAGGGATCTAGCTGTCTCTAACAAATGCCTATGCTTTCTTTTCACTATGCCATTTTGTTATGGTGTATAAGGACATGTCTTTTGGTGGATAATTCCTTTGTAGAGGAAAAACTGATTGGCTTCTGTATTGTTAAATTTCAAGCCATTATCTGACCTTATAGATTGGATAGTGGTACTGAATTGGTTTTCAACCATTGACACAAAGTGCTTGATGACTTGGAGAGCATTACTTTTACTAGTCAGTAGATGAGTCCAAGTGGGCCTACTGTAATCATCCACCATGGTGATGAAATATCTGAAACTATCATGGATTGGCATGTGATAAGGACCCTAGAGATCAACATAAAGAAGCTGAAATATTTTGGTAGAATTAGTGGATTTTTCTGGGAATGGTAATCTTTTCTGTCTTGCCATGGGGCAGACAGAGTAGGTAAAAGGCTGTTTTGGGGAGAAGGATGCAGGGATACTAGACATTCCCTTCATCTTGACAAAGGGTACATATCTCAGTCTGTTGTGCCACAACACATTTATGTCACTACTTGAAGACATTAAAGAATTGACACCATTTACAATGGAAAGTTGCACTTTATTATTTGGGGAACAAGTATTTACAACAGAATGAGATGTGCAACTACCTCTAGATAATGAGTTATTTACAGTGGAATGATGAAAACAATGTGAGTTGTGTGTACAACAAGTAGAAGAAATAGAATTAGCATTTGGATTATTTACAAATGACCTTAAATGTTTGCTCTTGAGACACCTTGGGCAGAGGAGATAGATCCCATCACCGACTTTACCAATTTCCAAAGGCCTCTTCATTGAAGGGGCCTACAGAATACATATCAATAAAGACAACTATGCTTTGAGGAGTTGAACTAGTTAATAAATGAATTGATATGAGATTGTATTTGAAGGAAGGTATGTACATGACTTTATGCAGAATGATCTTAGGAAACAATGTCACACTTCCAATTTGTGTTACTTTTACCTTATATTCATTTGGAAGAACTACTAATAAGGGATATGGTAAGGTCACAATGTTAGTTAATAAGTACAAGTTGAAGGGCATGTGATTAGATGCTCTTGAATCTAATATCCAGGAGTCTGCCTTGTTTTTGAAGCACTCACAGGACAATTTGCTAAAATCAATGGAGGAGGTGCAGACTATTATACCTGCAAAGTTCACAGCACCATTGGCATGACTTGTGCAACTGAAGCTTTCTCCTCATGTTCCAATTTGAAAATGCTGCAGCAAGCTCAGGATCTGTCCATACTGTTCCTTAGAGAGATTGATTTTCCCTCCCTCGTTTCCATCTTCTGATTCATCTTTACCTGTTGGCATTGCTTCACATGAAGTGCCCTACACACTGGCCACTATTCTTCTTCCCTTGTTGAACCTTTCAGCTTGGTTCAAATTCTGTCCTCTATTTGAATTCTGAGTGTATGAGTTTCCAAAGTTCTGAGGGTACCCGTGTAACTTGTAACATTTGTCCTTGGTATGTCCCAACCTTTTGCAATAGTCACAGAAAGGACGAGGCCTATTACCTCGTGTTGAATTGTTATTAGCAGCATAATTGGTTTTATAAGAGCCAGGTCTTGATGTGGTGATATTTAGGGAGGCAGACTCAAGTAGCATTTGGTTACTTGGTTTAATCTCTCTTTGTTTCTCAACCTGAACAAGTAACGAAAAGGCTTGTGCAAGATTTGGTAGTGGATTCATCATAAGGATGCTACCTCGCACATCAGGGTAGACTTCATTGAGTCTCATAAGAAATTGTATCAATCTTCTGTCCTGCTCGGCCTTGTGCATGTTCTCCTTGGCACCATATGTACAGGTACAACTATAGTGAATCATTTTGCTCAAAGTGTTTAGCTCTTCCCATAACTTTTTCAGCTTAGTATAGTAGCCTATAATGTCCAACACACCTTGAGATAAATCATTTATCTCCTTTTGGATCTAGTATAGTCTGGCACCATTAGTCTGTTCATATCTATCCTCCAATTCTTTCCACAGCTCAACAACATTACTAGCATATTCCACACTATCTGTAATATCTTTAGAAAATGAATTCAGAATCCAAGACGTTACCATATCATCGCATCGCTCCCATTGTCTGAATCTCTGAGATTGAGGCTCCGGTGGCTTACACTCTCCACTTATGAAACCTAGCTTGTTTTTGACGGATAGACCACGCATTACACTGCGTCTCCAAGACATGTATCCAATTCCACTAAAAGGAATTGAAACGAGCATTGCTCCAGGATTATCTGACGGATGTAGATAAAGTGGATCACTTGGATCTATTCCGATGGTCGTCGCAGCTGGAACATCAGTATCACCAACAGATGAACTTTCCTAATCTAATATGGCCATGAGTATAGAGCTTTGTTGTGTTATATACTAACACCAGCAGAAATTTGAAGAATTGATTGTCGATTTTGCGATTTGAAGAAATTAGGGCAAAAATCGATCTGATTGAAGAAGCAGAATTATTATAGGAACAAATTGGGGGAAATGAACGGAGATGAAGACGAATAATCGAGGATGAGCTTCCTTTGCTCTGATACCATGTTAAGATCTGATTTGGATGTGAGTTTGAAGCTCGAACTTGAACTCCAATGGAGTCGTTCTAGAAGGTTCTGAGGGAGAGAGAGTTCATCAGAAATGAAAGTAAAAAATGTGGAAATGGAAAGCTTAGTCTTTCTTCATTACTGTTGTGAATATATACACATGTGTAACAACTAACGCTAAGCTGGCCACTAACTACTCAACTAACACTACTCTAACAACTAACATACAACTAATCACATAACAGTATACATATAAACAACATAAATAATTATACAACTCTCAACAAATGCATTTCCTTTGTAACAAAAATAGATAAAGATAATCAAGGTGTGTTATCCTGTTTTTATCCATAAAAATCACGAGAGTTGCACAAATCTTTCTAAAGTTTGCAAATTTTCCATTATATTTTAATAATTACTATATTTTCATTCCTAAACATATTTAATACTAAGTATGTATTTGGACATAAAAATTGTAATAGTATTTGGAGTTAAGTTGAAATATGATTTTGAAATTTGAAATTATGTTTGGACATACATTTCATTTGAAAAAAATATTGTAGTTTTGTGAGTGGGAAAAAATGTTTTATTTTTGAAAAACCTCATTTTTTAAATTTTTTCAAAGACTTGCAAAATTTCATGTGCAAACACATTATTAAAAAAAAAATAGAAAAAGGAAAAAAATTATTGACAAACAGGGCCTAAATGATAATTTTGATCTCTCTTTCCTTCGTGTGAACAAATGCATGAAAAATATGCTCCACAGAGATTATAGTCATCTCTCTTTTCAATCAGACCAAGGAAAGAAACTAAACCAGAAACTTATTATTATAATAGTATAT